TATTCGCCATTTCACAGTCGATAAACTAGGTTTATCGGTTGGAAACTATAGTTTACGGACTGTAAACAATAGTTAACAACGTTAATCTATGTTTTACATCCGTAAACCATAGTTAACGCGATAATCTATGTTTCACAACCGTAAACTATACTTAACACTGAAAACAATCATTTGCGATTGCAAAACATAGATTATCTGATGAATACAGTTTCACGATTTGTAAACTATAGTTTACAAACCGTTAACTATAGTTAACGATCTGATAAATATAGTTTCACGATTTGTGAAACTATGATTAACAACTCTTAATTATAGTTTACGATTGTAAACTATAGTTTACAAACGTGAATCTATGTTTATCAACAAAATCTATTGTTAACGCTTATTACAGACAGATAAACTTAGATTATCATTCGTAAACTATAGTTAACAACCGTTAAATATAGTTTAAATATAGTTTTACAGATGAAAACTATACTTAACGAATCGTTAACTATAGTTTACGGTTTGTAAACTATAGTTTACAGTCGATAAACCTAGTTTATCAAATATGAAACTAGGTTTATCTCATTTTTGTGAATTTGGCGTGCCATACACGTAGCATCGATTTTGAAAGTGGGGGCCAGCCACAGAAATTTTTTTTTCCTTACCTGAAAAAGTTGACAAGCAAAAAAAAAAAAAAAAAAGGAAAATTGCCCAAAGTCGAAAATCCTATTTCGTGGGAGGGGGGGAGGGGGGGGGGGGGGTAGAGGCAAAATTATTTCACTACCAATTCCTTTCAATATCCAGTTTTTAAACTTACAATACTATATTTCCTTCATAATACTTTACTTTAGTATAAAGTAGGGGGGGGGGAACCAGCCTTTCAATGAACATTTTCAATAGTAAAAGTATTGTTGGCAAAAAAAGTGGGGGGGGGGCAGCCCCCCCCCCCCCTGGCCCCCCTGTTGCTACGTCCCTGATAGGTGAAGGCTCCGTTATTTTACAGTTTCAAAGGAGTAGGAATATGGTGTATATATATATGTATATATACCCTAAGCCTCCTATCAGAATTATGCCGGAAGGTTCAGGGATTGGACTAACCTTTAAAGATCTTTTTTTCTAATTAATTGAACTCCAGCAGACAAGCTACTGTGGAATCGATCATCATTGTGTGCGGGGGGGGGGGGGGGGGGCAATGTTTGTGGATTTCGTGGGTCACCTTTACTTACGAATTTACATGCCCACAAACGTTTTTTTTCTATAAACATATTCATGAATCTACCGTGTTAACGAAAAACCCAAGAGATTACATCCCCATGAACAAGAAATATATGTTGCTTGTCCACGAACATGTATAACTCCCACGAATCAGATGATTCCATACACACGGAAGTACATACAATATTTATCAGTTACAAATCTCTCCAATACGGAAGCGTATTAGTGCCACGCAATATTTTTTTTAAAGTTGGAAATTCCAACTTTAATCTTGGCTTTTCCAACTTTAAAGTTGGTAATTCCAACTTTAAAGTTGGAAATTCCAACTTTAATCTTGGCTTTTCCAACTTTAAAGTTGGAAATTCCAACTTTAATCTTGGCTTTTCCAACTTTAAAGTTGGTAATTCCAACTTTAATCTTGGCTTTTCCAACTTTAAAGTTGGTAATTCCAACTTTAAAGTTGGAAATTCCAACTTTAATCTTGGCTTTTCCAACTTTAAAGTTGGTAATTCCAACTTTAAAGTTGGAAATTCCAACTTTAATCTTGGCTTTTCCAACTTTAAAGTTGGTAATTCCAACTTTAATTTTGGCTTTTCCAACTTAAAAGTTGGTAATTCCAACTTTAAAGTTGGAAAATCCAACTTTAATCTTGGCTTTTCCAACTTTAATCTTGGCTTTTCCAACTTTAAAGTTGGTAATTCCAACTTTAATCTTGGCTTTTCCAAACTTTTATTCGAGCTCTTCTACCCGCTTTTCTTAGTTGTTAATTAAACTTAATTAAAGTGAAAATAACACACTGAAATAGATTTGTTAGCAATTTATCATTGCAATCTAGGGGTAGGGGTCGAAATAGAAAGGGGGGTTAGAATAGCGGACGGGATTATGGGGTGTTATAATATGGTACTTTTATAATATAAAATAAATACTAGCATATTAAAATGAAATGTTGACTTCTTTTTATCTGTGTTTGTTTTATTTTTTTTATCTTGTCCTTGCTTATGACCTTACATACAACTTCAAACTTTTACTTAGAAATCCTTATATTCCTTTAAGCTTCTTGTGTAATTCTATTGAGAATAGCTTCATATAAATTATGTACACAGTATTCCGTACATGACAGGATTTCAACTTAACCAATTACAGATATAAGCCATTTATTATGTATGAAAAAATGAGACAGCAATTAAATACTCAATGTAATCAAATTTTATTTAATCAAATGAAACATTTCTGGTAAATATACAACATAACTAAATGTATCAATTCCGTACTGGCGCGGATCCATGATTTTTTTTTTTTTTTTTTTTTTTTTTTTTTTGTTGACAAACAAAATTGATAAGTAAATAAATAATAAAATCCTTTCTTAAACGTTAAAAGTCAAAGTTGGAAAAGCCAAGATTAAAGTTGGAATTACCAACTTTAAAGTTGGAAAAGCCAACTTTAAAGTTGGAATTTCCAACTTTAAAGTTGGAAAAGCCAAGATTAAAGTTGGAATTACCAACTTTAAAGTTGGAAAAGCCAAGATTAAAGTTAGAATTACCAACTTTAAAGTTAGAATTATCAACTTTAAAGTTGGAATTATCAACTTTAAAGTTGGAATTACCAACTTTAAAGTTGGAATTACCAACTTTAAAGTTGGAAAAGCCAAGATTAAAGTTGGAATTACCAACTTTAAAGTTGGAAAAGCCAAGATTAAAGTTGGAATTACCAACTTTAAAGTTGGAAAAGCCAAGATTAAAGTTGGAATTTCCAACTTTAAAGTTGGAATTACCAACTTTAAAGTTGGAATTACCAACTTTAAAGTTGGAAAAGCCAAGATTAAAGTTGGAATTTCCAACTTTAAAGTTGGAATTACCAACTTTAAAGTTGGAAAAGCCAAGATTAAAGTTGGAATTTCCAACTTTAAAAAAAATATTGCGTGGCACTAATACGCTTCCGTACTCCAAAGTAAACTCTTCAAAAAAAAAAAAAAGAAACGCATAGTAGGACCAATGCCCCGAAAAATATGACAGTTTTGCCATATCTTTTATTTTTAGATGGACATGATGTATGCGAGTGAAATGCGTGATTTGTTTTGCAAAATTTCCCCCAAAGTTGTTGAATTCTGATGCAATTCCTTCAGGTACAAAGGGGCTATCAAAAGCGGGGGTTCTCGATATTTTGAATCTGGTTATATCTGAAAATTGACGCTGTCTGAAAATGCTGCAAGAGGTTTTAATATTTCGCACAGCACCATATCTATTAAACCTAAAAACGCAAGCCATTAACATCGAACACCCAATGTTCGCAAAAATACGGTAGACTACGCACAGCATCACTTCAGAGGATTACGTAAATTGCATGAATGTAACGCAATGACGTCATCTAAAGCATTAGCCATCCCCGAACTGCACAGATTTTCTAACAAGACCGTTTTCAGTTGACTACGAATTATTGCAAGAGGATTATCCATGCCCTTGTACCGACCCCACAACACCCCAAATAGCGACTTCAAAGATCTCAGATCAATAGAGTATGACCACAGCATCACCACTGAACATTTTGGTTTAGCTATTAGTCCAGAATGTTTATCTGAAGCCTCTTATAAGTTTAAGAGTGCTAATGCTTTGTGATGAATGTTAGACAGATAACTGCCTCCAGGACGTTAAAGAAGTTGGTGGGTGGTAGTGTAATGATATGGAAATGGGTATTATAAAGTAAGATTGATTTGGCTCGAATTCAATAGACTTTGTTGGAAAAAGGTACTCTAACCATGTTCTACCTACACATGCCTATTCAATTTAGCAGTATCCTAGGGCCGTATTGCAATCTCACAATACACAACCACATACAGCTCGTTTGACACCCCCATTCTTACAAAGCAACAGCAACCTGTTTCTGCCACAGTCATCTAAATCGCTAAGATTTAAACCAATTAAATTAAGCAGCACTGGACAAAATGGATTGACATGATTTGCCAAAGGCAATCGCATCCCCAGGCTCTGCAACAGCTGACGAAAGCTCTACATTTGGAGTGGAGGAGTATTCCTTTTCAGTTTTTATTACACACATTTGCTTCCATTAGATGCTGTTTGTGGCTTTCATTTGTGTCTGCGGCCGGGGGGCATACCAGATTTTGATCTTTAATGACCTTAAACTGACTATGATTTTAAAATTCTTGAGTAATTATGACATTTAGATGGTATACCTGTTGCTTACCATATCTCTGTTTTATCAAAATGCATCATTTTACTAAATAATCTTTATGTTCAATGTGTCACGAAAATTCTACTATGCGTTTCATTTTTTGAAGAGTATAATTGAAATTTAAACTGAATACAATGAACAGGAATTATTTAACTTGTTGCAGAGAGTTTGTCTAGACATTTTAGGATACGAATGTATGCACAAAAAACTACTTAAAAATTTGTAAATGACTAACAAGTAAAACAAACTCTCTCTTTCTCTCTCTCTGCAAGTTTTTTCCTGAACAAATTAAAAAAACTTACAGTTATGTAAATTGGCTATTTCTACTAGTACGAGTCGTAATTAGAGTAAAAATAATGCCTAAAGAAAGCAAAGTCTCCGTAATATTATCAGCACAAGACTGTTGGTTAACATAGCTGAATGAGTTACAAAAGTCATTTGCAACCATTCATAAAAACTGGTCAAAGAATACCTATTTATGATCTGTTTTTTTTTCTTTATGTTTTGCCGTTTAAAGTTGCGTTTGTCCAAAACTCATTTGTAGAGTCAATATTAATCGTTTGGTGCATTTTTTTTTTTTACCAATGCTCGGAACGGAATATGACCTAATTAGATCGGGCTCGAAGATCAGAGGGTCATGTGAAAAACTACTGCCTATTTTCAGTTTTTGTGCAAAATTACAGACAATGCATTCCGTTGTATATATATTTTGTATTTTCGTTTTATCATTGTCTGTTTCATTTTGTATCAAATATGATCCTAACTGGGCCTCCATCGACTCGCGTCCCTTACCAGATTGGTATGATGATGCTAAAATAGGGATGTTTATTAACTGGGGGGTGTACTCTGTTCCTAGCTACAGGAATGAGTGGTTCTGGTACAACTGGAAGGGTCCCAAACCAGACCCTGATACTGTCAGCTTCATGGAGAAAAATTACCCACCAACCTTTACCTATGCTGATTTTGCAGAACAGTTTAAGGCTGAATTTTATGATCCTTTGAAATGGGTCAATATCATTGAAAATTCTGGAGTGAAGTAAGTTACATAATTATATGATATATTATTGATTAGAAGTATGTTCATGGTGCGACTGGTAGGGCGAGTGCAGATGCTTATATTGTTTTAATTTGATCATGTTCATCAAACTGTATGAGATATTTGGTGCGTCTAGACTCTAGCTTATGACATCATATGATGTTGTATATATAAGTTGCTAACCAAAAGGAAGCCTTAACAGTGCTGAAAGTAAATGAAGAACATTTTGTTTACTATTTATCTTCAACATATATCCATTAAATCAAGACAAGTTAACTTTTTGTTGAGTTTTTGCTGTTATTCACGTGAGGACGTAGCTTTAACAAGTGATGCATTGTGGGTCCAGAGGAACTGCGGAAAAAAAATTCTTTTGGATCAATGTGCAAAGTCCGAATTTTCTCTTTACCCAGGTGTTGCTTTAAGACTCGCAGTGACAAGGAGCACTTTTCGGCACTTGCTGCGCTTGCTAATATATAATGATTAGGAAATAATGTGTTTTAGTTTTAAAATTTTAACGTACTGTACATAACTTATTTTTCAACAATTTATTAAAAAATGCCTTATATTGTGTAAAAGGCCAATTCTTGTTACGTGTGTAATGGAAGAGGAGAAAAATGCAGCGGACCAGACTGGGATTTGAACCCTGGCCCCCTGAATCTCAGGTCAGGAGATCAACCAATTGCTATCTGGCCACTGGTGATCAAACCTAGCTTACCGTAAAAACTTGGAAGCTTTTATTTGATTCTGTAGATAATTTGCTGTATGCTTTTGCTGGGTTCTTCCGTCATGAATGACAATGTGGCTTTATTATCTAAGAATTTTTTTTTTGCCAATAGAGTAGGTTAGTTTTGAGTTTTATTTTTTAACCTAGGTATGTTGTACTGAGTACAAAACACCACGAGGGGTTCACCATGTATCCTTCTAAATACTCTTTCAACTGGAACTCTGTAGATGTAGGGCCTAACAAAGACCTCATCAGTATGTATATTCATAAATAAAATCTTTGAACTATACTTTAATCATTATACTAGCTATCATGTCTCTCAAACTGTATATTTTTCTTTATTTAAAAAGAGGTATATTGGGAGGAGATGGTGAAATGTAATGACTATGAAGTGCCATCTAACTGAACTTGATTTTCATTTTTTCAGAATACATATTTGCCTACCTAGCTGGCAGTGGTGTTCATTTTGGAATTTATCACTCATTGTTTGAGTGGTTTAACCCTCTGTATCTCCAGGATAAGGCCAACAACTACACAACACAGAAGTTTGTCAAGGTAAGGCATAACTACTACACAGAAGTTTGTCAAGGTAAGACATAACAACAACACAGAAGTTTGTCAGGGTAAGGCATAACAACAACACAGAAGTTTGTCAAGATAAGGCATAACTACAACACAGAAGTTTGTCAGTAACAACAACACAGAAGTTTGTCAGGGTAAGGCATAACTACAACACAGAAGTTTGTCAGTAACTACAACACAGAAGTTTGTCAAGGTAAGACATAACTACAACAAAGAAGTGTGTCAAGGTAAGACATAACAACAACACAGAAGTTTGTCAAGATAAGGCATAACTACAACACAGAAGTTTGTAAGGGTAAGACATAACTACAACAAAGGAGTGTGTCAAGGTAAGACATAACTACAACAAAGAAGTTTGTAAGGGTAAGACATAACAACAACAAAGGAGTTTGTCAAGGTAAGACATAACAATAACACAGAAGTTTGTCAAGATAAGGCATAACTACAACACAGAAGTTTGTCAGGGTAAGGCATAACTACAACACAGAAGTTTGTCAGGAAAAGGCATAACTACAACACAGAAGTTTGTAAGGGTAAGGCATAACTACAACAAAGGAGTGTGTCAAGGTAAGACATAACTACGACAAAGAAGTGTGTCAAGGTAAGACATAACTACAACACAGAAGTTTGTCAAGATAAGGCATAACTACAACACAGAAGTTTGTCATGGTAAGCCATCACATCAACAACACTGTGTAATGATTAATGAATGAATTTAATTTTAATATTCTTTGTTTAAAAGAGTGTACTAAACAAGAGATAACATTGTTGTGATCAAAATTTAGATAATTAACAAATAATAATGGCAATTTTCTTATCATATTCAGGAGAAAGGTATGGCTGAGTTGTACGAGATAGTAGAGATGTATCGCCCTGATGTTGTCTGGTCAGATGGAGACTGGGAGGCACTAAGCTCTTACTGGAATGCCACACAGTTTCTGGCCTGGCTGTACAATGAAAGGTAAACATATCCACACCATAGAATGCTACACAATTTCTGGCCTGGCTGTACAGTGAAAGGTAAAAATATCCACACCATAGAATGCCACACAGTTTCTGGCCTGGCTGTACAATGAAAGGTAAACACATCCACACCATAGAATGCCACACAGTTTCTGGCCTGGCTGTACAATGAAAGGTAAACATATCCACACCATAGAATGCTACACAATTTCTGGCCTGGCTGTACAGTGAAAGGTGAACATATCCACACCACAGAACGCCACACAGTTTCTGGCTGTACAGTGAAAGGTAAACATATCCACACCATAGAATGCCACACAGTTTCTGGCTGTACAATGAAAGGTAAACACATCCACACTATATAATGCTTCACAGTTTCTGGCTGTACAGTGTAAGGTAAACACATCCACACCATAGAATGCTTCACAGTTTCTGGCCTGGCTGTACAGTGTAAGGTAAACACATCCACACCATAGAATGCTCCACAGTTTCTGGCCTGGCTGTACAGTTTAAGGTAAACACATCAACACCATAGAATGCTTCCAGTTTCTGGCCTGGCTGTACAGTTTAAGGTAAACACATCCACACTGTAGAATGCTACACAGTTTCTGGCCTGGCTGTACAATGAAAGGTAAACACATCCACACTATAGAATGCTTCACAGTTTCTGGCTGTACAATGAAAGGTAAACACATCCACACCATAGAATGCTTCACAGTTTCTGGCCTGGCTGTAAGGTAAACACATCCACACTATAGAATGCTACACAGTTTCTGGCCTGGCTGTACAATGAAAGGTAAACACATCCACACCATAGAATGCTACACAGTTTCTGGCCTGGCTGTACAATGAGAGGTAAACACATCCACACCATAGAATGCTAAAGAGTGCCTGGCCTGGCCATGCAATGATAGCATATCCACACCTTACAAGGTTGTTTGGTACTCAGACCATCATTCAGGCCTTACCCTTGGTCCTCTTCTTTTTCTACTACGTTATATTTGAAACAGTTGATGATGCCTGATTTGACTAGCAGATTATAGAAATATTAAAGTGTAAAACTTTCTTTTCAGCCCTGTCAAGGATACAGTGGTTGTTAATGATCGCTGGGGCTCTGACTCCAGATGTAAACATGGAGGCTTTCTCTCCTGTGATGACCGCTTCAACCCAGGTAATTTAGCTGAAACTTGTGATTATTTTATTTAGTATTGTAATATTCTTATGTTAAAATTGTCAGTTAAAATTGTATTACCGTAGTATAATACAAGGGAAATAATTTATGTAGGAAAATTACAAAAAAGAAAATGGGAAAATTGCATGACCTTGGACCGTTACTCCTGGGGGTTCAGAAGAGACGCCAAATTAGCTGATTATCTCTCCATGGAGGAACTACTTGAACTTGTGCTTAATACCATTAGGTAAGAATATTTCAATATTAAACACTCAATATCAGAGGTAACAACAGAGCTATGTCACCCACAAAATATCATCAGAAAGGAAAAGTTATACATACTTAGTATATAATATTTTATTAACTTCCTTAAATATGTATAGAATATTCATTACTTTGAAAATAACCAAAGGGAAAATTTTGTATTGATTAAATGACAGTATTATTAGCTCACCTGAGCCGAAGTGAGCTTTTCTGATCAAAGAATGGGTGGACTTAACTGGTCAGAAAAAATGCTGTAAATTTAAGTTCCATAAAATGTTAATTTTTTTCCATCATATAAACCCCTGATATCATAACTGTGTATTTATGGTACGGATGTGAATTTAAAATGCTCTTTTCGAGGTAAACTAAATAAATATCGAAGGCATGGTACCTGAAGATTTCTTGAATATCAATAGATAATCAGGGTCACGCATTTTTCATCGTCTGAATACATAGTCAGTGCATGTTTATCGGCTGTTCTTACGAAAACTGTAGTTGTATATTGAGCAAAATAATGTCATATTAAAAGGAGAAGAGCCGACAAACGTGCGCTTACACTTAATTTAACAAAAAACATGTTCAAAACAAACTTCTCGCTTCCATTGTTAGGACTTCGATTGACCCGTTAAATATTACAATCCATCACGTGATGTCCACCTGCGAGTGTACTCGTGGAAACAGTTACATTGTATTCTTCAACCTGACCTCAATGTATCACTATGTTTGGTTGCCGTTTTCAGAATTAAGCACATTAAATGTTGTTTTAATTTTGTGTGTCCTCACATTTAAAAAAAAAATCATTATGACATAGCTGTAATATGCCAAACACGTATTCGAATTTCTAGAGAAATTGAAAGAGAGAAATGTCAACAATGACACCGATCGATAGCCCCGCCTCCTATTAATATTGATAGCGTGCCCTAAAAACCACTCCGGGTACACGTTTAATTCCGGAAGACAGCACTAATGTATCGTTGCTTCAATTTTGATTCATGGCAACAAGGCATTGCTTTTGTACACATGTTCTAGCTTAAATAATCATGTATACGTTGTTTTTTCTATTGCTTGTAATATATGTTGGATTCACTTTATTTTCACCTTGGTAGAGGAGTCGCAAAAAGATCCAAATTAGGGCGTTAAGTCCACCCATTCTTTGTCCGTTGTCTGTCATTGTTGTTGTCGTTATAAACTTTTCACATTTTCATCTTCTTCTTAAGAACCACTGAGCCAATTTCAACCAAGCTTGCCACAAAGTGTCCTTAGGTAAAGGGGATTCAAGTTTGTTCAATTGAAGGGCCACGCCCTCTTCCTAATGGTTATAATTATGAATAAGTGAAAAAAAATAAGTGAATAAGTGAATAAGTGAGAACCACTGGGACAGAAAAGATGAAACTCATGTGGAAGCATCCCCAGGTAGTGTAGGGTAGGGCTGGGTTAGAATAAACGATCAAAGTTTTTTTATAGGAATCTATAGGAAAAATCCTCTTCTATAGAATGGAAAGGCCTGAGTTTAGTTATATTGATATGGATGCATCATTAGGTGGTGTAGATTCACATTTGTTCAAATCATGATTCCAGGGGTAGGGAGGGGCCACAATGGAGATGAAATTTTTACAAAGGAATATATAGGAAAAAAATCTATTTAAGAACAGTAAAGCCATTGTTATTGATATGGAAATATTCTCAAATAGTTTAAAATTCAAGACCTACTTTTCAATACTTAACTGATTTGTGCCCTTTTCTAGCCAATATGCTCAGGTGAGCGATGTGGCCCATGGGCCTCTTGTTCACCCATACAATGACTTTTGCCTTACTGTTTAGCATTCCCTTATAAATATGCTTCCTTATATCTGTTCTTTCAAAAAGGAATGAAAGTCACTTTGCTCTACATGTAAATGTCAATTGTTCACTTAAACTAAAAGCATCTTTTACTGTATAGGGAAAATCTTCAGAATTTTCTTTTTCAAGAACTAATGTGACATGATTTTACATACTAGTATTTTATATGCAAGTATCTTGAAGTAGTGCAGACTTTCAGTTTGTTTAAATTATGGCTCAAGGAAGATGGGGCAGGGTCCTATTATGGAGTTAAAATTTTGATGAATTGGAGGGAAAATATCTTACATGAACAGCAGAAATTGAACCCAGTGGATCTCTCACTATGCTATTAATGTTTATGTTAACATCCCATAATAATATATGATCAGGAGAAACATCTTAAAAGGACAGACTTCATCTAGCCAAAAAAAACCTACCTGTACTTTATCATGTCATAATGTTTAAAAATATGACGTTTACTGATGATTGAAAAATACTGTCAATGGGAAAGGGTTATGTTTGCACATAGCTTAATAAGTGATTTATTTTGTTACAGCTATGGAGGAAATATTTTAATCAATGTTGGACCAACTCCATATGGCACATTTTCACCCATTTATGAGGAGCGATTCAGCCAGCTAGGGTCATGGTTGAAGGTTAATGGCGAGGGTATTTATGCTAGCCAGGCCTGGATACACCAGAATGACACCATTACCCCAAAAGTCTGGTAAAATACATGCTGCTTCTTGTTTTTCTTCTTCTTTACATTGACTATAATGAAAAATCAAACCAATTTGGTATTCAAGTCTAACATTACATCTTTTGCTCATGTGCATTACTCTCATTTCTCATTTAAACTTCTATTACAGGTACACTGCACCAAAAGCAGATAAGAAGGCAGCTTATGGTTTTTTCATGAATTGGCCAGTAGATAATGAGCTTATCCTAGGCTCAGTAAGTGGGGCTACTCTCTCCAATGTAGCTTTGGTTGGAAGTAACAAGACTTTGACTTGGGAAAACAGTGGCTCTGGTATCAAGATAACCATACCACCCCACAATGTTCTGGAAATGCCTTGTCTATGGGCCTGGTCTCTGAAGTTCTCATTTAAATAATTATTCATTATGTATAACTTCTTGATCACTACTACATTCCTGTATTTGTAATCAGTAATTTCATTAGGTGTCCATTTGCAACAGATTTCAACATTCAATTAAAATTTCGGGAAAGGTAATCACTGAAAGATCCAATAGGTTAAATTCGTCTTTAAAATATAAAATATAATTACAATCCATTGCCACTTATAAATACCTCTTTAAGGTAGGATTCTTCTCATATTTCTTGTATTTAAAAATTAATGAAATTTTCACAGAATCAAGAAGATAATATTACTAAGTGATGGTATCAGTGAAATTAATTTTGACCGTATCATATTAGAGACAAGGTCAGGTCAAGGTCAATAAACTTACATTTGAAAAGTTCTTCATGTCTTTGATTGGTAAAAATTATAACTAAATTTATTGTTCTATAACAAAAATTAAGATGCAGAAAAGAAGATATTTCCATACGCCACCATTTCGCCAAAAATATAGTCCCTGCTAGTTTTCAAACACGGTTTACCATTTCTATTCAAAGTTGTACAGTTGTGACGAGGAAAGAAAAATATGGTCTTTTAAATCTCTTGCACCTAAATCTATAAGACATATAAGCAAATGTACTTTGAATATTTCATCTATTCAGAAACCAGAGAAGAATCCTACTTATAAGCAGAATTTTTAGCGAGGATATAATTTTGGCATTATTAGAGAGGGTGCTGAGATTGCTAAAATTGCATATCCCTAAAAAATTAAATTAATTGCGATTTATTTGTAGTGTGTTCTTAAGGGAGCATTTTAGAATTGCTAAAAATACATCTCACTAAAAAATGAAATACCTGTTTTTTTTTTTAGGACAGATGCTTAATTTGCTTCTCTCTAAAATTTCCAATTATACGGTATATTGATATAGTACATGTATACTAGTATGTAAACACTGTAATCTTTTTTTGCCTGTTTTGTGACAAAAATCATGACAATACTGTACTTCTTATTAATCACAAAATCTGTGCCATAAATTGTAGTTTACCCTTCACAGAAACTGTACAAAATTCTGTACTACATGTACATGTATTTAGAAGAAAGGGTTCAACATGATACTCGTATACTTTAGCACATTAGTAGACATTGGATCCGTATTCTATTTATTGGTTTTGAATAAATTCAAGTCCAAGTGGTACTTTCCCCATGTTTCAAGTTCAAATCTGTGCAGGTTCATCACATCAGAGTCTTTTGATAATAATTCTTTATATTTGAACTTTTCTTATATTAATCTGAGAAAAAAACAACAACATTGAAATAATATCTAGAATGAATGAGTATTACCTTCCATAAATAAAAAATTTTCTTTACAACAGAATTCCGTTCAAACATGTTTTTGTGTAATGTTTTAAAAAAAATATAATAAGTGTGACAGAGAAGCTCTGAGAATCATGTCAGACTAGTGATAAAAATGTTTTGATGCTTGAGTCTTCATCCACTTTTTGGCTCATTTGAGACAAAGTTTAGATGAGTTTCCCTCATGATGCAACTGATACTCAATAATGATGCCCATTTTCACAATTGATATGTAGATTTTTCATAAAATTTGCTTTTCAGATCATCAAGTCTGTACTTAAAGAGGTTATTTGATGAATACATGACTTTGTATATTGTCTTTTTTCAAAAGAAATGTTTGATTGAAAATACTGTGATAAGTAATTTTTTTGTGTTATGTATATGTACATTGCTGTGTATTCCGTTTTTTATTTATTCTAAATAATGTTGTAACCTACATGTAAGATGCTATTTTTGAAGTTTCACAGATAATAATTAAAACACATATAGCAATGATTTATTGCACTATTCTTTGTCTTCATTCCTCTGTAAAAGTGGTACACTGTAATTGTAATTTAGGTGCAATAATGCTGTCAGTTTTGATTTAGACAGAAGCAATTAAAGTTCCCTTTGAACGATAAAAGGACCCATAAAGGCAATGATGATATTCTTGGATGTGCTCATTTACAAGACTGGCTTATTATACAGTGTGCCATCATTAAAATAGTCCCTCTCTCTTTTTAGGTCACCTGAGTAAACTCAGGTGACCTATTGCTATCTGTTTTCGTCCGTTGTCGTGCGGTGTGCGTCGTGCGTCGTCCGTTAACATTTGAACATTTTCAGCTTCTTCTCTGCAACCACTGAACCAATTTCAACCAAATTTGGCACAAAGCATCTATGGGTAAAGGGGAACAAAAGTTGTGAATTTCATGGTCCCTGCCCCCCTGGGGCCTGAGGGGTGGGGCAAAAACCACTAAAATTAATGCAATCTTTAAAAATCTTCTTCTTTACTCCTGGACATCAAGCAGTCAAACTGTTTGCATGATTGTAATCAGCATTGAGTCCTCTACCAAAATTGTGAAATTCATGGCCCTGGGGTCAGGGGTTCTAGTGCTAGGGCGGGGCTAAATAAGTATATAGTGAAAATGCATCATTTCTTTGAAAACCTTCTGCTCTGCTCCTGGGTATTAAATAAACTAACTAAGTGCATAGTTATGATGAGCAAGAGTGCCTCTACCAAAATTGTGAATTTTATGGCCCCAGGGTCAGGGGTTCTGGTGTTAGGGCAGGGCTCTATAGATTATATAGTGAACATTCATGAATTCTTTGAAAATCTTCTTCTCTGCTCCTGGGTATTAAATAAACTAAATAAGTGCATACTTATGATGAGCAAGAGTGCCTCTACCAAAATTGTGAATTTTATGGCCCCAGGGTCAGGGGTTCTGGTGTTAGTGCGGGGCTCTATAGATTATATAGTGAAAATTCATGAATTCTTTGAAAATCTTCTTCTCTGCTCCTGGATATCAAATAAACTAACTAAGTGTATAGTTATGATGAGCAAGAGTGCCTCTACCAAAATTTTGAATTTTATGGCCCTAGGGTCAGGGATTCTGGTGTAAGGGCGGGGCTCTATTGGTTATATAGTGAAAATACATGAATTTCATGAAAATCTTCTTCTCTGCTCCTGGGTATCAAATAAACTAACTAAGTGCATAGTTATGATGAGCAAAATAACCTCTACCAAAGTTGTGAATTGTATGGCCCCAGGGTCAGGGGTTCTGGTGTAAGGGCGGGGCTCTATAGATTATATAGTAAAATTACATGAATTCTTTGAAAATCTTCTTCTCTGCTCCTGGGTATTAAATAAACTTACTAAGTACATAGTTATGATGTGCAAGAGTGCCTCTACCAAAATTGTGAATTTTATGGCCCCAGGGTCAGGGTTCGGGTGTTAGGGCGGGGCTCTATTGATTATATAATGAAATTACATGAATTCTTTGAAAATCTTCTTCTCTGCTCCTAGGAATTAAATAAACTATAGTTATGATGAGCAAGATTACCTCTTCCAAAGTTTTGATTTTATGGCCCTAGGGTCAGGGGTTCTAGTGATTGGGTGGGGCTCTATTGATTATATAGTGAAAATACATTAAATCTTTGAAAAATTTCTTCTCTGCTCTTGGGTATTAAGCAGATGAACTACCTATGTAGTTATGATGAGCAAGGACCCTAATCTTCCAGAATTGTGAATTTCAAGGCCCCAGGGTCAGGGGTACCATAAGGGGAGGGTGGGGTTGTACTTATATACTGAAACTGGATGAATTGTTTAAGATCTGCTCCTTGGTATTAATCAAATATTTTTGAAAAGCAAGGGTGCCATTTCAAAAATTGTGCAATATGTGGATCTAGGCCTAAGGGTCAGGGGTTCATGTGTGATAGGGGCATTACTGATTATTGCTGAATATTACTGATTACTTGAAATGCATTTTTTGTTCCCCCACCCTTCCTATGGGTATTAAGTAAACAAACTAAGCAACTGCTAAGTGTATTGTTATGATGATCAATGGTGACTCTTTCAAAATTGTGAACACCATAGCATCTGGCTTAAAACATGAATCAAATTAAATCACTGGAAAGTTGTTGCATAATGCTCAGGTGACCTATAAGGCCCATGGGCCTCTTGTTTAGCTCACCTGAGCCGAAGGCTCAAGTGAGCTTTTCTGATCAAAATTTGTCTGTTGTCTGTCGTCGTTGTCGTAAACTTTTCACATTTTCATCTTCTTCTCAAGAACCACAGGGCCAATTTCAACCAAACTTGCTACAAAGTATCCTTTGGTGAAGGGGATTTAAGTTTGTTCAAATGAAGGGCCATGCCCTTTTCCAAGGGGAGATAATTATGAATTAATGAAAAATTAATGGCATTTTTAAAAAATCTTCTTCTCCAGAACCACTGGGCTAAGAAAAATGAAACTCATGTGGAATCATCCTCAGGTAGTGCAGATTCAAGTTTGTTCAAATCATGACCCCGGGGGAAGGGTGGGGCCAAAATGGCCGATTAAAGTTTTACATAGGAATATATAGGAAAAATCCTTAAAATTCTTCTTCTCCAGAACCACTGGGCCAGGAAAGATGAAACTCATGTGGAATCATCCCCAGGTAGTGTAGATTTAGGTTTGTTCAAATCATGACCCCTGGGGTAAGGTGGGGCCAAAATGGCTGATCAAAGTTTAACATAGGAGTATATAGGAAAAATCTTTAAAAATCTTCTTCTCCAGAACCACTGGGCTAGGAAAGATGAAACTCATGTGGAATCATCCTCAGGTAGTGTAGATACAAGTTTGTTCAAATCATGACCCCCAGGGGTAGGGTGGGGCCAAAATGGCCAATCAAAGTTTTACATAGGAATATACAGGAAAAAATCTTCAAAAATCTTCTTCTCAAGAACCACTGGGCCAGGAAAGATGAAACTCACGTGGAATCATCCTCAGGTAGTGTAGATTCAAATTTGTTCAAATCATGACCCCCCAGGCTAGGATGGGGTCAAAATGGCCGACCAAAGTTTTTCATAAGAATATATTGGGAAACCTTTTAAAATCTTCTTTTCAAGTACTTCAAAGCCATGATTAGTAATATTTATATGGAATCATCCTCAGGCAGTGTAGATTCAAGTTTGTTCAAATCATGATCCCCTGGAGGGTTAAAATTCAAGCCCCCCCCCCACGGAGTCCTATACCTAAATACCTATATACCCCCCCCCCCCACTTTTTAATTTGCTTTAGACACCAATGCTTCTTCAAAACAGTGACCACTTCCACCGAAATAGATGAATTATAGAAATTAAAATATCAAAAGCTGCATTTGTCATGGAACAAAAACGATATTGCCATGAATTGGCCCAACTGTTTTGGCTTTCCCAAACATAGCTTAGTCTACAAAATAAATTAAAATGTTTAACAAGAGGCCCATGGGCCTTATAGGTCACATGAGTATCATGCGACAACTTTCCAACAATTGAATTTGATTCAAGTTTTAAACTAGAGGCCCAAGAAATTCCCAATTTTGAAAGAGGCACCATTGCTGTTTTTATTACTTAATACCCAGATCAGAGTAACAAAGAGAAAATGCATTTCCACTTTTAGTGAATTTCAGGGCCCCTGGGTCAGGGCTTCTTGTGTTAGGGTGGGTCCACAGTTAAGCTCCCTATCCCACAGGAACCACTGACCCTGGGGCCACATCTTTCAAAATTTTGGAAATTTTTAAAAATGTTACTTCGATCATCATGCTGTTGATTAATATCAAAATGCAGATTTCAAAGCATTAAATTATTTCAGACTGTGTCCCCCCCCCCAAGTACCTCTGACCCAGGGGCCAGGAAATTAATCATTTTTGGAAGAAGCAGGTTTTTTGTCATAAATATATACTAAGATCATTGGCATTATACCCAACAAGAAAGGAAAAGATTTTCAAAGAATTATATCATGCATTTTCACTATATAAACATTAGAGCCCCGCCCTAACACAAGAAGCCCTAACCCAGGGACCCTGAAATTCAAAAATCTCAAAGAGGCATCCTTCCTCCTCATAACTATGTACATAGTTCATTGGTTAAATACTCAGGTGCAGAAAAGAAGAGTTTTAAAGAATTTATATATGCATTTTAAAATCATTATATAATCAATAAACCCCCGCCCTAACACCAGAACCCCCAACCCAGGGACCATTAAATTCACAATTTTGGAAGAGGTAGCCTTATTCAACATAACTATGTACTTGGTTAGTTTATTTAATACTCAGGAGCAAAGAAGATTTTCAAAGAAATAATTCATTTTTTACTATATAATCTATATAGCCCCGCCCTAGCACTAGAACCCCTGAGCCTGGGGCCATGAAATTCACAATTTTGAAAAAGGCGGTCATTTTCAACTTACCTATGCACTTGGTTAGTTTATTTAATGCCCAGAAGCAGAAAAGAAGAATTTCAAAGAAATACATGTAATGCATTTTCACTATATTAACCTGTTTAGCCCCGAACTAACACTAGAACCCCTGACCCTGGGGCCATGAATTTCACAATTTTGGTAGAAGACTCAATGCTGATTACAATCATACCAACAGTTTGACCGCTTGATGTCCCGGAGTAAAGAGGAAGATTTTTCAAGATTGCACTAATTTTAGTGGTTTTTGCCCCACCCCCCAGGCCCCAGGGGGGCAGGGACCATGAAATTCATAATTTTTGTTCCCCTTCATCCATAGATGCTATATGCCAAATTTGGTTGAAACTGGTTCAGTGGTTTCAGAGAAGATGCTCAAAATGTTCAAATGTTAACGCAAGAGACACGACGACGGATGAAAACAGAATGCAATAGGTCACCTGAGTTTACTCAGGTGACCTAAAAATACAATGGTTACCATAATTATATTTATCGCTAAGGCCTATCCATACATTATAATATTTTTATATGAATCTGAACCTTTGGAATTATTCACAGGTACTTGGGTCTAGGTTTATAAATAATTATGCAC